CCCTTCCTCCAAGTCGGCTACTCTGTGAAGCAGCGCCAGTATGAGGATTCGAGGGGCAGCGTTACAAACGGGAATGGGACACTTCTGTCTAAGGTCACTCATCTATTACACAGTTGAGGGGCTGAAATGCTTTCTATTGATGATGCTTTTTTCCCCAGCGGCTAAGTGCATGTCGGCAGCTTTTTTTTTTTTAGCTCTCAGATCGCATTTTGATTAAACTGAATGTCACCTCGTTTGTCGTGCACAAACGTAGTGACACATCGTGTTCATTCATGATAACGGGCGAAGTAAGAAAAACTTGGCAATATCACTCTGTTCATTTAAAGCTTTGTGTTACTAAATATTTTCACATCATCTGTCCCAAGTAAAAACATGACAGTATGAGGAACATAACGCTGTCATTCACAGTAAACTAAATAAGATCAACCTGGCAATACCTGGAAGCTTTGTACTATTAAATATTCCACGTATAAAACGTATCGCAATAAACAAATATTCATCAGTCGAAATAAGGTGACAAAAAATAAAAGATTTTTACCTTTAATACTGTATGTATTCTAGGTACAAAGTTAATCTAAAATAACCTAATGAAATGTTGTTTTTACATAAAATGTGGGTTTTAAAACTATAAAAAGGTTCAATTTTCCTAATGCTTGACTATTTTATTCTCCATGGCAACTTCTCTGCACTTTGTCCACTCCGATGCGGACAGAGAAGGGCTCACTGGGGGTGCCGGTGAGCACCCTTGTGACACAGATTTAGAAATGGGGCCCCCCAAGCCTTGCAGACTTGAGCAGGAATGTGTACAGTGCCTATAAAAAGTATTCACCCCCCATGGACTTTTTCACATTTTATTGTGTTACAGCATGGAACCATGATGTACTTAACTGAGAAGTTTTGCCACTCATCAACACAAAGTACTCTATAATGTCAAAGGGAAAAAAATCCAGACATTTTACTAAATTAAAAATAAAAAACAAAATAATTGAATGTGTAAGTATTCACCCCCCCC